TTATACGTTATACGTTATACGTTATACGTTATACGTTATACGTTATAAGTTATACGTTATACGTTATACGTTATACGTTATAATAAAATATGAAGATGACATCTTCTATCGTCATAGTCAAAACATTACTTATTGTTAGTTCAGTATTGTATGATATAGCATCTAGCATCGGTTCGTGCAAATATAACTCGATCAAAAAAAATTAGAGATAAAAAAGATATTACAAGCGCCATACGGTTGCTTAAAGGTGACAAGGATTGAGTTCTAAACGGATCACATGAGACCTGTGCGTGACGAAAACCTAGGTTGCTTATCGCCCTGCGACATCGAGTATCGCAAGACCTCTCGCGATCGCCATCCCTGTCGCCTTTCTTCCAAGAACCATCCGGATAGCTACACTTATTCTTGCATCACGTTGCTATAACAATCTTGACGGACAGTATCCATCTGACTAATAAGACATCTTCTTGTTTTGACTCAGGAATGTGAAACCACTCAATCGATGGTTATACATATTAATATACAAATTCACCTTACTACCTTGATTAAAAAGTTTCAAGAATTTTCAAATAAAACGCAAAATGTTTGATTATTCGTCGAAATTTATTTTATCACCTTCAAAGTACTCTCTATCATTACCTACATGCAATGCAGCTATGCCAATAACGCTTTAACCAATCTTTCATACATCGTTCGTAATCGATTTACGGTATACCCTTCAGCTCCTCCAGTGAAGTTTTCTTAATAGCTTCAATTGTGTCAAAACGGCGTCTTTTCAGCGGCAATTTGAGTCCAGGAAATAGGAAAAAGTCACACATGGCTTGATCAGGCGAATAAGGCGCTTGCGAAATGATGTTAGTCGAGTTTTTGGTCAAAACATTGCAAATAATGCATCAAAGTGTGAGTATTATCGTGATCCAAAAACCACGAGTTGTTTGCCCAAAAATTCGGTCGATATATGTTTGTTGCTTTTTGCAACATTTTTAACGTCTCAGCACAAGCAATTTCATTTCTGACACAAAATTTAATGTAGATTCGTTGTTTGATAAATTTAGATAAATGTCGTAAAATTCGCTAAACGCATCAAACGCTACTTTACAAAAACATCAGCTATTCACGAATGATTTGACAGATTGCAATAATTTTTTGATAGATGTCAGTGATAGGATTACCAACATTATTATTTAAAAAAACGTTGGATTTGTGCGGTTCTCTTAAAAAAGAAATTCCCGAAACTTTTCGATCAGCGTAGTACAACTTTAGAATAAAAGATTTTGGTACTATGAAAAACATTATGATAATAAAAACACAAACAATTTTGTAACCTGCCAGTAATAATTAACGAATATATTTCAATTACATCGACTCAACTGGTCACAATTAAAACAAAACACGACGTTTTGGCCCCTGATTTGGGCCCTTTTCAAGTGCAAACTAAATTATCCGTAAGAATCGTCGTTGAAATCACAAGACATCCTTAATGTATTCTGGAATAATTTCATACATTACGGATGTCTTGTGATTTCAACGACGATTCTTACGGATGATTTATAGCGTTTTTCACTGGGAAAACTAGTGCGCACTAAGTGCGCACTCGCCGCAGGCAACGTGTTTCACTGGGCGTTTTGATGCGCGCAAAAATGGTGC